ATTTTTTTAAAGAGGTTTTCGAACAGAAGTGAAACAACAACAAAAATTTATTTTTTAAATTATTTTAATTAATTGAATTTTTGGCTGACCATACAGCTGTTTCGAGTATTGCCAAATACCCTTCATCAGTGGTCTTGGAAATAATTCTTATATTTAATTATTCGTAAATAATTATTTTTGAGACTGCAAGTACCAGGAATCGAACTCGGGTCTTTCCAAATATGAAGCTCAGAATCAGCGCACCTTAACCAACTGATCCAAAGCCGTACTTGGCTTTTTATGTTCGCATATTTTTGCTGGAGTTTTGTTACTTCTTGCTATGAAAGTTTTTATTAACAATTTTACTTGCTGTATTTATATATTAGAACGAAATCATAAACCAGCTGTAGAATAATTGAATTAATTAATTAATTATATTTTTTATTTTTAATTGTTAAATTTCAAAACTATTCTATTCGTAGAGGCATTATTTGTTGCATGATTTGTTCTTTCTTATGTATAGAACCTAATCTAGGAACGTAATGCTGAGAAAGTCATGCTAATGTTACTCCACTAGTCGCACGGGCGAGAACCAATATTTATTGGCGAGAATCATATTTTTGTGAATAAGTTGTAATTTAAATATTTTTTGAAAAGAAAACGTGGACAAACTAGCCAGGAAAGAAGCAGCCATGATGGGGCCCGAACCTCATTGTGGACTAGGACATAGTACGCTCCTTTCTCTCATAAAAATAAAAGAGAACCATAATAAAAAGAATTACTGGCATAATATACCAGGATTAAAACAATCCAAATCACTTATTGGTACCTATAACAATAAGAAATATCAGGATTGTATCAAATTATCAAAAGAAAAACAGAATCAACACAGGTATTTTAACAGAACACTGTAAACTAAAATACCACCCTACGAGAATAGGTATATATATGGATGCAACGTATAGATTCTGTGAGGAGAATGAAGAGTCAGCCACACATGTGCTGTTAGAATGCCCTGCGCTAATGCCCATACGGAAAAGGCTCCTGAGAATTTACATCCTTACGGAAGAGATAATAAAACTCTGTAATGTAGGTCCTATACTACGTTTTACTGACACAAAAGGCTTAGAGACCTAAGCCCATAAGGGGCACAATAGACCCGACGGTCGTAGTGCCACAATCCCTGACAATAATAATAATAATTCTTTGAATTCATTTATTCATTTAATATGAAGTAAAATTTGATTTATACCTACTACATGAAACATCTTACATTAGTAGATCCTTTTAAGAGAATTTTTGTTGAATTCATATAGCTGACAGTAACCTGGTCTTAACTATACAGATTTTTTGAATGATAGCCTAAAGTGCCAAGAGACTGACAATTGTCTACATAAATATAGATAAGGTAAAGGTAAGGTAAGGTAAGGTATTTTACTCTGAAAATTGTGTGAGTTAGAAGCACTCAATTGTTTTAAACAAACATTTTACTGGTAAGTTTTTGTAATCTGTTTTGGTAATTATACTTTTGAGTGCTCAGCGGTGTTGCAACATCATTATTAACCAATCTTCATTAGAGTTAATTAAAAACTATGGTATTTGCTTGACAAGACTTTATTAGTACTTTATTAGTTCTGCGCTCAAAATACCCTTCCTTAAAGGTCACAATTGAAGCCTGATAAAATAATTATTTCGTGTGGTTTATTTAATAATTTTTGATACTTCTTATATAGAATAAATTTATTTGCATAAAGATTATTAAGACTGTAACATTTCATTTCATTTTTATTGCATATTTTCTACTTTTTGACTACCAAATATGAATCCAATTTAATATGAATTTTTTCAAATATTACAAAAGTTAAATAATAAAAAAAATATTTTTTAATTTAAATTTTTAAAATAATTCTACTTCTAGCCTGAATTTAAATTGTTTACAAAATTTGGCGGCATTGTTGTTATTTCCTGAAACATTTCAACGCTTTTCCACTGTTTATTTTCACAAAACTTTTTCTCGTTCTTTTAAGAATGTTGAGTTAATCTAAAATCTAAATGAAAATTTAAATTTCAAAAAAGTTTGTTGATAAGCTTATCATTCTAAGATAAGTTCAACCTTCTGCAAGTAGAAATTAATTAGAAAAATTGCATATTTAATATTTATACTAAATACCTACTAAAATGGAAATTGTGGTTATAATAATATTACATATTATTTTAAATCATATTATTTTTATTTAATCTATACATGCCTATATCGAACTAATCGTAGTGTATTCTGTCAACTTCCTGGTGGAGTAGTTTTTTCGTGGTTATTATCATCATTTTTTAAAGTGTGACTTATATATTTTACTTTTATTGGTATGAATGTGATTTTAATACGAATACTATAGTCCACTATGCTGTCATTTGAGATTAAGTATGATCAAAAATGCCGCAGAGGAATTTGACGCTTCTATTTAAGAATGTTAGCAGTTTCCGGAGCTCAATTTGCACATCGCAATATATGTTTGGACAAAAATTATAACCAAACAATATTAATAAATAAATAAATTTGGAAGTATAAAAAACAGATTTTGGTCAGCCTAAAATACCACTTTTTAAAAAAAATAAATTTTTGTATATAAAAATTCCTCACTATAAACCACTTTTTTTATCACATTTTACACTATATCATATATCACATTCAGTAAACTTAATTTTTTAATAATGGCGATATCTTTATGCACGGAATTTTTCAAAGCGTGAGTTTTCCTTAACATCCTCTTTATTATAATTTTATAAATCTATTAATATTTCACATCTTATAAAAATGTTATCGAATTTTTTAATTTTAAAGCGATTAGGTATTGACGTGTCAATGCAGTGTATTTTTTAACAATGAAAAAAATTAACTTCATGCAGTGAAAATATTTTTTATTTAAAAATGCTAAAAGATGGTAAATACGTAAAGAAAATTTTTCACCTTCAAAAATAATGGTTAGTAAGTGGGCTGGTTCGTTTAAAAAGTTCTAGTACAATTTTCGTACATGATCCATATGAAGTACGTAAAAAATTACACTAACACCATAAATCACCACAAAAATATAATTTTGGAAGATTGTAAATTGAATCAAAAAGTTTTAGTGAAAGGTGTAGGCATTTCATTCCACATAGTGAGCAATATTTCAAGTCATTCTTAGGGGTTTGAAAAACTTTGAATTAGTTTTATCATAATAGATTAGTTTTGAAGTAATCATTGTATTCCTCAATCGAAACAGAAAAATAAAGGGGAAAAACTATCAAGACCCAGTTTTTTGATATGATTTCTTAGTATTATCTACAAGATTACAAAATAGTGAATTTAGATTTTGAATGCACTTTTCTGGAACAATTATATGCATAAAATTATAGAATTTCGACATTTACCATCAAGACTTTGCAGCTGTCCAAACAATTATAAAAAACCACATTTAAAATCGGTTAAATAAAATACAAAGTGCTAGGATGCAATAGTGGGATTTACCTATTTACGTTATATATCACTCCCGCTAACTTCTGGTGTTTCTTTATAATATGTAAATAAAAATTCTTCTTATCAAGTTGATCCTTGTTAGTAATTTGCAAACCCTCCGAAAAATCACTATACAGCTGAATCAATATTAGAAGTAGTAAAATTTGAGAGATTGTCCAGCAAGTATTGTGGGCATATTTATCCACAAGAATATGGATTTAGGTGATATTTTATTAGAAAACGAATTCATATAATTCATAAAATATATTATTTGTTTTATTTATATTTGTTGGGTCAGTTGGTTAAACTGCGTTGACTCTGGGCTTCAAATTTGATAGGACCTGAGTGCAATCCCTGGTACTTGCAGTCTTAAAAAAAATTATTTACAAATAATTAAATACAAGAATTATTGCCAAGACCACTGATGATGGGTATTTCCCAATAATAGAAATAGCTGCATGGTCAGCCAAAAAATTCACTTAATTAAAATAACATAAAAAAGAATTTTTGTTGTTATAGTTCACTACTGTTCGAAAAACCTCTCTATAAATTTTGTTTTAAAAACCTAAAGATTGTCTTAAAATACTTTGTTTAATTTTCTTCTGAATTTAAGCCTTCCACTTAATTGATTTTAATAACAAAATATTTTAGTTTTGTATCTAAATATTTCTCAACATTTTTAAATTTTTCTAATGTTCATTATAGACAATAATTTTGTCTATGATAATTTATACATGTGTCTATTTAAAATGTCTATTTTTGTTACTTAAGCATGTAATTCTTCTATTAGAATAGATAAAATATTTCGTTTAGAGATTTATGTAATAAATTTCTATTAAAATTGAATTTAAGATACGAAAAATAAAACTCAAATAATGCAATTTAAGTAATCAGCTTAGTAAATATGATTTTATGAGAAACAATGTAAGGAATATTGAAAGATCATAATTTTATATTAGAATCGTTTATGTATATAGAAAACAAACACATAACACGAAATATGTTAAAACATTTAAAATAATCTCTTCAATATTTTCGTATCATAAAAAGTAATGGAAGCATCTTTTATTTGTGCTTAAAATTGAAATGAAATTCTGAAATTCTCGCATTCCACGAAGGAATTTTTCCAAGGAACTTCATATGAGTGCGCAAAATTTCATTACATCTGTTCGCCAATGTAGAGGAGCTTAGGAACACATATGCGAGAAAATTCCTAACATTCTAGGAAAATACTAGTAGAGTAGAATCTAAGCATACTGGCAGCGCTATCAACTCTTATGTAAGCCCTCGCTTGAGCCAGCAATAAGTCAAGCAAATGCTGCTAATTTCGTATATGAAAATTGAAAACAAAAATTGGCAAAGTGGAACCATGACGGCAGTACAAATTGAATAAATAAAATACCAACATTTAACATAAGCCAGCGTAATTTACTTTAATGTTCCATTATTATTTATTTTATTATTATTTTTTGTATATTGTATTATAACGTATTGTATTTCGAATTTGTATCTTTGCAGGCGCTGAGAGTATCTACGCCACAGTAGTATCGATTCACAAAAGAGTTCGACTCCGAGTAGAAAATAAATGGTTATTATTTTATGGTAATTATGCCCACAGTAACATTTATTTAAAGAGATTTCAACTAAATAAATGAAAATAAAAATATGAAAATAGATAAACAGAAATGTAAATAAAAATACAAACGAAAATCTGAATCTGAAAAGTAATTGAAAGTCGTTACTCGCAGTGTTTATTTTTGCTCCTACGCAGGCGATTTATTTACTAAGTGATGTGCTTCCCCGTAATTAATATTTTCGCTGCATTGTTGAGCAAAACTTTTATGGAAACAAAAATTTATTTTTATTTTTTTATGGATGTGACTATTGTTTGCTCAATAATGGAAAGAAAATACTTTATGAATTTTATTTACATTTTTGCTTGAATTGAATAGTCGTGATATTGGTGCAGAATATGCTTATGTATATTTACGAATTATATTCGTAAATATTTTTCTAAATGGTGATGGAATTTATTTTCATATTTAATATTCATATTTTATTTTTCAAAATATAATAAAACAAAAATTTCTAATAAAATTTGACTTCTATTACCCCGTTAATTGATGAATAGTTACTTACAGTTAAACTATTCAATCCAGTCAACAGAATTTTTAAAAAGATTTTTTTTTTTGAAAAATTTTATTATGGTCAGCCAAATTAATTAATTAAAATAATATATTAAAATAAAATAATATTAATATTAAAATAATAGAAAACAAATTTTTATTGTTATAGTTCACTACTATTCGATAAAACCTCTAAAAAATTTTTTGTTTGAACCACTATTACGGCTATATTCTATACTCATCTTCAGGCTACTATAGAATGACTATATGTTAAGACGACTATTCAAAAAAAAAATTTTTATAAAAAGGTTATTATTCAACTATTCACCAATTAGCCCGGTTAAAAACAAGATTATTATTAAAGAGTTTTTGGCTTTTAAAACATATTATTAATATCTAATATATGTATGAAAAATTGTAAATTAAAAAATAATATTATTGACGGTTATTTTGAATTTTCTGTCTATACTTACTATACAAGTACAGCATTAGAGTTATTTAAAATCAATCTACAATTTTATTTCAATATAAATATATCATAAAGGGTCATTCACTCAGTGATCCATTTCGGGAAAACGAAAAAAAAAATACGGTCATGATGCAGACTTCGTTCATATATTTGTGGTATATCAATATATATTTTTTGCTGTTTGTATTTTTGTGTAAAATACATTATTCAAAAAATCTCCATGCAACAACTTACAGTAGTGGAAAATTTTTAAAGTAACTTTCAATCACCCGGCGCGTAACTGGCAATAACTTTAGAATAACTTAACGGACGTAGATTTTTAAAACCACTTGACCATTGTCGACATAAACACGTTTGTATAACTGTATAGAAAAATCCAATAGTTAAATGTGTCTAGTCATATTGTTTCTTTATTTCTTCATATGTTGGAAATTATTACCCGAAAAACAGTTGTGAACCGACTGGCACAATATTTGAAAAATGTCTAATGCTGTTTGCGTATGTCAATGATATAGAAAAGATCACTTGATAACCGATAATGATCCGAAGACTTAGAAAAATAAGCGATATAAATAGGTCATGTAGTAAATGAGGAATAAACAAAGTACTTTCTGTCAACAAACAAACCTCCTGAGCGTCTTTAGACCCACGCCACTGTTGACAAATATAATTTCGAAGTTGTGACAGACTTGAAAACCACGCAAACATAAAAAATGCCCATAGATGTTACTTCGGGGTAAGTAAGCAATTGAGAAATAAAAACTATCTCGCAGAACAAAAATCACGCTATACAAGTTTCTTATCATTCCTGTCCTGTTGTATGGTACGGAAACCTAAAGAATAACCAACAGTGATGAGAAGGCGTTAGAAGCATACTAGGAGGAAAGTTTTCGGAAGATTGATGGTATTTTACGTGTTGGCAACAAGGTACGAATTATGTGGAACAATGAGCTGTACGAGTTACACGGTCACATAGACATAGTTAAGCACATAAAACTTACTTATATCATGCGAATGGAAGAATCTACTTTGATTCAGTATTTGCTAATGGCAAACGCGGTGCAGTTTTAGTGGAAGAACCTCTTGTGAACGCAATCAACAATTACATACTGATGACAGTAAACCACTGATTGTGATGGTTGACGGAAGCTGCTAGATATGACAAACAACGACTCATGTTTGTAATGGTCAACTTTGGAAGTATATAGTTCAATGCCAGATTGCATAATCTTCTCATCAATTCACATCACCAAAACGTGAAATAATATACTTGGGAAGTTTCTGGCACAACAGAGGTATGTCTTCCACATTTAATTTAGCTTCAAAAAAGAATTGGTGATCATATAGTTACATCAAATAGAATTGACATTTTGACAGTTGTAATAATACTCCGTCCTGAGGAGGAAACGTCTATATAAATATCTATAGACTATTATAAAGTAATAAAAATTAAAATTAATGTACAATTTCTATTCTCATCAGCTTTTTAACAACACTGAAAAATTACTTGTGACCTTTCACTGCTTCTTCGGAAATATCAGATATCACAATCTTGTTTGTTGATCTCAAACATAAAATTAGCACTTTTAATAAGATAAATTCGATGCGATATAGTAAATTTATATATATACAAAATCGTATAGCAAACATTATATTGAACTTATGATGGTTTGGATGATGGTTCCGTTTGACACGTCACTAAAACACTGGAACTAAATCAAAACCACAAATGAATAAAATATTTGAATAATATTTGTTAAAATATTTGTTTCATTCTCTATTTGTGAATAGATTGGCAAGAAAATAATAATAACATAATTAAAACCATATAACCGTGAAGTATGAAGCAGTGTGTCAAAATGAAAATTAGAAATATTTCCATAATTGCAATCAAAATTGCAGCTAATATTAAAAAATCATTATGGTGTTATACAAAGGACAGCCCACACTGAAACATAAAAATGAACACTATGCAACTAAAAATTCACCGGTATAATTAGGGATTCATAATTCATAATGGTAGTCACTCGAATGATTCACCCACATTTGTATTTACTTTCAGACCGGCAAAAATTATTTAGATTTAAATTAGGATAAAGAAACAACTTATTTTTTAAGTGATATTAGATAAGTATAAAAAGCAAATAGTAACTGCAAATAATCACATTTACATATTAATTAATCTATGAATATATTACTTTTTAAAAAAACATTGAAAGTATTATGAAACGTTTTAGAATTTAATATAAAAACATTAAAGAGAGATTAATTAATTTCTTTTTTTCTAACAACTAAAATATTTTTTTTTAATGAAACTTTAAGTAAATATGTATTTGTAGGTTAAAATTTGTATAAATTTGCCCTTGCCCATACATTAGTAACTAGACACGTTTTTATACTTTATGGCCCATTATCCTTGTTGGCTTAAGTATACTCATTTTAATTATCTCGCACTTGATTTAGTTGCTGTTATTATTATCTTGACGTAGTCTCATATATCACTTGTTTAGTCTGGCGCATATGCCTCGCACTACTTACTGAAGGTTGTCTCTTAGCTGAGTGGGAAATACGTGAACTGGCGTCAGAAATATTTGCCTTAAAGCATTAACAGCAGCACAACATGTTTTGTTTATATTTGTTTAGTTCACTTTAATCTTAGCAGCAGCCCCAGACCTTCTCACTGAGTAAATACACAACTCTTTATTTATTGTGCTTTGTATTTAGGAAGAGACTCAATGCAATAAATACGAAGTCAACATTAATTTTTGGTAGATTAAATGAGTTTAGTGAAGATGTTAAAGAGAGCATTTGTTTCATGTACTATTGTTAATGAACATTAGTTAGATTTTAAATACAATTATTTTATTAAAATAAGCTATTACTTATGAAATTAAGATTGGTTTTAGTTGACAAGTATAGGATGCTTGAAATTGTTAATAAATATACACTGATTTATTTTACACATAAAGACGAGTACAGTTTTGGAAGAGAAATTAGGTTTTTGTTGGTTTAAGTCTCGACATTCTATTCTGTGCAAATTACATATAAATATATTTCTTATCATACATCTAGTTATCAAACTCTGCTTTTTGAAGCCAACCTACATAGTTAAAAATATATTATTTTGGCAAATTTATATTTAGCAGTTCACCAAGTTCTTTATTTCGTTGGTTTTTTCTATTGAAATCTCTCCGTTTTCTGTCACACAGTTTAGAAGAAGATAGTGCAATTCTACGGCTACAGGTTTAGTCATTTCTACACCTTTTATAAGTAAAGATTATTTTATAAATAAAATAAAAATGATTACATTAATAATAATTATTATATTTATATTACAAAAATTATGTAAACGACTTCAAACTGCTTGTAGTCAATCTGCAGTTACTGATTATGACGTGAACGCTCATATATCGATTTTATTATCATTTTTCCTGCTATTGACTTAAATTTCTTGATGATAGATCGATCGAAGTGAGAATCAATTGTAATAACTAAATTTCTAGATTAAAATTGACTATTCTCTTCCTGACAAGCGATTGTTGTTTTAATCTTCTCAATAAATGGTACAAATCCTTTTCTTAGTAAAATCATCATGTACAATGTGCACTTAAATGTAATATATTTGTAAATAAATACATTAGTTTGGTTTACTAATTTCGCAAAGTACAAATTTGGGCTTTTCAATAAACTCCATTTATCGGTAAACACGAAATGTTTGTGGACGTAAAAGTCACCTTGATATACATATCAATCAATAATCTAAATCTTGCACTCAATATTAAGAATGATGATAGTATGAGGTCTAAATATAGACCACATATATGTTATAGACAGAAGAAGACTATTTTAAAAAACATAATTAATTTTTACAGAAAAGAAAAATGATTTGCTATTCTTATATAAAAAAGTTTCAGTTTCCTGATATCTACAGTTCAATAATGGAAGCAATTTAAAATTAAATCTTTCTGATTAATTATAATGCTTAACGATTTCTGCGGGAAAGGAGTTCTAAAATACTACATAATGCAAATTTTTGTTATTTATATCTCCCTTCACACATTTTCGCACCCCTTCTTTCCGCATAGTAAGTATGTTAAATATAATTTATCTCATTTGGGTATCATTTACATCAAGATATAATAGTCATAATAAATAGTATAATAGACATAATATCTTTGTGTATATTCCAAAGAAGTTGTGTGAACAGAGACATAGACAACTTTGAAAATAATAAAAGCAAAATAAAAAATAAACAAAATAAAATTATTATATTTATTGCAAATGTATAATTGAAAACAAATTAAAGCACAGTAATAAATCAATATAATTTATATACTGACATCCCTTAACCCCTTAAACTTTGTTATAATTGAACGAACATCCCTTCCCATTTTTGCGGCTAGAAATATTTCTACAACTCCCAAGGTATATGGATATGGGTCATTCTTTTACAAGCATAACGATGTTTGAATTCATCACCTCTGATTTCGGTAAATTTTTCTTTTATGAACTTCTTTTTTTAAAAAATATCTGTGTCACGTAAAAAAATTTTCAAGTTACAAAGATACCGACTCATGGGAATTTGAGAATTTACATTTTAGTTCAATATTTAAATAACCACATTACAATAATAGATGTAGATGTTATAATTGATTAAAATTGTTCAAATTTAATTACAAATATTAACTTTCAATTTAAAAAAATATTTTTTTAAATGTACATGAACAATTTCAATTCTTTATTTTTGATATAAATAGATCATGAAATTTTGTTAAAAAACCTAAATTTTACAAATACCATTATTTTAAAATTTTAATTCACGCTGTACCTCACATATTGCTTATTTGCACTTTATTTCAGTTAAATGAAATTTTGAAAAATATCTCACAAAACTATTAATATTTTATTTCTGTTTTGGATTTATCATTACATTTTTTTAAAACTTTGAAATAAATTGCTGTAAAAATGTATATGAAAGTGGCCAATAATATTCAACAAATGCAACAATCACTAATAATTGATGGAAAAAAATGTTTACTCAATTTTACCCAATATATAATAGTTCAATACTTATAAAACTTATAACCAATGTTAAAGATTTTAAAGATGACTTCAATATTTTAGTATGTAATATAAAATATAATTAAAATTATATTTTTTTATTAAATTTTGTGGGCAAAACAAAATTTGTTGATAAAAAGGTTTCAAGTTAATTGTTTCATAAATGTTTATTACGCAAAATATATGTTAACCACAAGAAGACATCAGTCAATATAATTACTCGGTGCACACACATTTACATACACACACAAACACCCAAACTGCTAATGGCTTACAACACACAGCACACATCAGACTTAATGGCTTTGTTTATGTTACTCATACGCAGTGTTGTGCGGTGTATGCATGTTACAAGCAATAAAAGCCAATTTTATGTTCTCCATCCACTCCACATTTTATTTTTATTTTCTTTTGCTTGCTTTTACTATTTCTTAACCGACATTTATGGTCATTATGTTATGCTTAATTTGTGTGGTTTTGGTTTTGTTATCCTTTTTGTTTTAGTTCAAAACAGTTTCGCCCATGACAGCTAAGGACTTATTTACAAAGTTGCAATTTATGACAGTCTTTTATATTCGCCTGTATGTCAGTGTGCTTCGATATTTTTGTATGTGTGTGTATATATAGTTATATAGTTAATAATGAGAAAGCTGAAGAAGTCATCGCGTTTGGTTTAAGTAGCAAAAATGTAGCCATTAAAAGTAGATAATTTTAGCTTTTGTTTATTTAATGCATCTTTTTCATATTTTCATATTTTCTTGGTGACTTCTTTTGTATTTGCCTTTGGTGTCTATTTAATCTTTTTGCTATTATAATCTTTTTATTCTTACGAAAGTTTGTTGGTTGGTTGAGTGTTTATAAACATAAAAAATTTGTTATGAAACTCTTTTTGTATAAGTGACGTAACTGTGTTTGTATTTAATCATACATCAAAGTTTTGATGGATTTCAATAAAGTTCAAATTATGGTCTCAGCTATATAGCATATATATGCACCGTAACACAAAAGTGTGTTCCTCGGACTAAAACAAAAGCTTTCCAAATCCTTAGCAAAAAAGTTTTTATGCTGATCCGTGTACTTTTCCTATTTATTATTCCCTTTCAGCATATTTAATGATAAAAGTAAACACAAAAATAAAGCAAAAGTGAAGGTTATTATTATGTTAACGAGCTTGTGCTATTAAACTTGAGCGCACGTTGCGTATGAGTGACATTGCATTTAACAGATTCATTAATAAAAAAAAAATCAATGTTCTTAAAACGAGTGCTTACATTTCTTTGTCATTGATGTTAAATAAATAAAGATAATATTAGTAAAAAGATATAGATAAAAGTTTACAATAACTTTTAATAGCAACCGTGTGTTATAACGAAAAATCTCATTAATAATATAATGCAATTATTGCAAATAAATAGAATATTACCGATTATTATTGCCTCATCACTACATTCAAGCCAACTCATGCTGTTTCAGTTATGTATTTATTTTTTAAGAACTTGTTTTTGAAAACTGCAAAATTAAAAACCGTACTTTTGAATGGTTTTATATAGTTATTTCCTACATAAATGTCAGCATGATGCAATTTGCTCTTTATTTAAAAACATTTTCGCACTTTATGTTGCGAAAATATTTTAAATACCACTTTAAATGTAGAAAATGTATTTGTTGAATATTTCTTTTTTTTTAACAAAATACTTTATTAAATATTTATTATTATCCAACAGCGCTTTTGTAAATAACTTTCAACCTTTGCGCCACAGGCTGTTTTCGCACGATTTCATACAACAACCAACAACAATTTATCAGAAAATTTATTTTACCGAATTTGTTTTTGAAAAAGAGTTTTACGTATTTTTATTTATCGAATAAATTGCCGACATAACTTAAATATATGCACCCAAAAATTATTACATAGAACCTGAGGGAAGAGGCTACTATGACGGTTTATATAAGAAAAGCTTTCATTCATGCATGTGTTTCTAAGAAAAGCAGAAAGATTGATTAATAATAGAACTTTCAGGGGAACCATATTTTTTCACTATTTTTATGGGAAAACAGTATTGTAAAAATGGAAGCACCTAAAAACGAAAACCGACTTAAAATTGATTTTTTGCTCGAATTCTAGGTCCGAGATTTTGCCGCTGAATATTTCTAGTGATATCATAAACTGTGTGAAACTGTAGGTATATAAATGAAATTAAGGAGTAGCATAAATAAAAAAATTGTATTATTATTCTCAAAAATCTTGTCCACTGTTTACTTATTTTTGAAAGCAATATGTATTATTCTTTTCATGTTCGATATATAATGATAGAAAAAAAAAAAGAAAATGAAAATCTTTTTTAATTTCCTTATTTAAACTTAATGATAACACTAGTTTACATATCATTTTTTCTAAAGACGAGATCAGCTGATTCTACAGTAAAATTTTTTATTGGCTCAAAAATTAAGATGAACTTCTTGTAAGGTCCACAAAATTTTTTTTTTATTCCTAAATACACGATATTTTGGGTTTTTCCGCAACAACTCTTCATATACGCTCCGCATCTTTTTCTGTAAACTTTTTCCCGAAATTTTTTTTGAAGTAGTAAAAGTATTAAACATCAAATAAAAACTGAAAGTAGTAGAAATATTATAATGTACATAATGGCGACGGTACTTAAGTACTTTATTTGATGTAGTACATGTAATATTAGCTTTTGTATTTGCTTTATACATTTTTAAAATCTTTGATTTTACATTTTTTTCCAATTTTTTTAACTTTAAAAGTAATTTAGACTACAACAAATCTAAAAAAAATTAATAAAAAAAATTGAATGAAAATTTCAAAACTAATATTGGATTTTCGACATTTACACAAAATATGTGTTTCTACGATATAGCAAAAATTTCCAATCGAAAATTTTTTGTTACGTATTAAAAGTAGAACTAAATCTCTATATTAAAACAATGCCAAATTTCATGTATTTTTGTATTTAATTTTCACATTCTGGTACATGTGTGTTCCAGTTATCCTTCTTGGAGCGAAATAAGTTGTTTCTCATATAATGCGAGAATAATAATTACTTACATACACACATACAAACTTCCTTTATATCAGCATTGCACCTATAAGTTTAATTACATAGGAGATTATTGTTGGTCCATTGTATGGGAAACAAATCCTTCTTACTATAAAAAGTATGATGAGAAGACACAGACACCTTGTCTTAACGACATTAAATTATTTTTTATTTTTCATCATAAAAATAGGAAGAGAAGGATCGTGAAGAAGATTAACAAATTTATAAATAAACTGATAATTTAAATGAGTTTAGTACGGCTGGATATTTCTAATGGTTCACGTTATGGGTTCTTTCAGTATTTTTTTTGCAAAAAAATCAAGGTGTTTTGGCACAAGTCGAGTTGCAACGCGTCTCATGCCCAATATATCATGTAGAATGTGGTGAACGAGTCTATTTGAAATGTTTAAGTCACGAGCAATCTTTCTTTCAGTCATACGACGATCTTCCAGCACAATTTTCTTGATTTTTGCCATGTTTTCTTCGGTATTTGATGTTGATGGACGTCCAGAACGAGGAAAATCTTCGATCACTTCCCGACCCTCTTTGAATGATTTATACCACTCGTATGCCTGTGTTCGAGACATAAAAGAGTCACCGTAAGTTTTCTGCACCATTTTCAATGCTTCAATACATGAAATTTCGTTCCAAACACAAAATTTCAAACAAACTCATTGTTCAACTGAATTTTCCATAGTAGAAAGCGCAAAATGCACTTGAGGTAGTCTCACATTAACAGCTGCTGTAAACAAACTAATTGACAAATGGAGCTCAAATTTGTACCATATATCATATACCAACATAACAAAAAACAAAAAAAATTTTTTGAAAAAGGTCTATTACTTAAGGAGTAGTTAACAAAGTCCTGTACTTTTTGAGCAGAACGTACATAATATTTTTTCGAAATTCGAATTTTGCAGAAGAAGTTTCCTTCTAATCGTTAATGTTTTCCTATTATTGTTTTCGTAAAGCATTAAATACATAGTTTGGATAAATCGTCTTTAAGATATTTGACACCTTTTGACCTGTATCGGTTAAGCACTGCATAGATACCTCTAAACTATAATTTTTTTTTCATTTCTAATATCTAAGAATTGTATTCATCGCATACAGAGGCCGAATTTGCATGAAAATCAAATAATGCATAGATTTTAACCTCTAGACTAAATTTACATAAACTTTTATATACCTATGCGATTTTTATATCAATATATATGTAGACCTATAAATGTAGGCTAAAAGTCTATAATTAGAAATTATTTTACCGATTTATACATGATACCGATTACTTGCACTGATATTTTAAAACCAGTGTCTTATGAAGAAGAAAAAAGATTAATAATACTGAAATTTTTTTAAGAATTTTTATAAATTAGGTATTTTTCTATTATCGAAACTAAAAAAGTCTTATAGGGGTTGTTAATAACAATTTTTTTTATAAATTTTAAACGAACTCCCTTTTTTATTTATGAAATCGAGAAAAATTAACACCATTAAAATGACAAAGAAAGCAACTACATCAACTCACCAGTAACGACTAATCCGTATTTAAACATAAGTATATAGTAAAGTATATATAGCTAAAAAAAATTTGTTGTCAGAACCTTTGCCTAACATTTATTATTTACACAAATTTTTCTCCTACAAATAACAATCTTTTTCTGACGTCACACATCTCAGTTTGTCAATTGCCGCTTATCACTTTAACAACAAAATAAATCCTTACTTTCCGCTTTGTAGTTTAGCTGTAATGAAATAATTTGTAAAACGCTTTAGTCCTTAAATTATTTAATTCAAATTGCATTAATCAACACTTCGGGTTACGTTTGCACGTATCAAAACCTCGCCCGAAATGTCATCCAACCACATATCGACCTCACCGCCATTAACCAACTGCTGGTGTCAAAATCCCTTCTAATAACACGCACTCAACCGACTGATAACGTGGTTAAGGACACGTTCACACAAGTGAAACCCTTTTTACCAACCCACTGTCAGCTTATGGTTTGCTGTGTGATTCGTAGTTTTTATTTTCGTATTCCGCTTTTGGCGAGAAAATAGTTATTTTCTTGTAGTCATTTTCTTCTTCTTCGAAAGACACAGAAAAACACACGAGTACATATGCCGGAGGAAAAGGACAATAAGTTCATGTGCAAAAATTGTTGTCTTTGATCGTCGTCCACAGCATTTAACGAGATTTAACGTAAGTTGAGGGGAAGAAAAAAATGTATTTCCCCAACGGTGGTTCACTTAATTTGGATTTAAATTAAATTTCTTCATTAAAGTGGGGAAGAAAATGGATCAACTGAAATTATTTGACCTGCGGTGACAGTGTTTTTATTATGAATATTTCCGGAAAAATGTTATTTCGTAGAAGCATTTCCACTTAAGTTTTTACACAATAATTGCTTCATTGTTTTTTGCAGAATTTTTCTCTTTGATATATAATGCTTAATAAATTTAAAGTTGAAAATAACTACTGTACTTTGTTTGGGTGGGGGGAAGAGGAGATTGGTGTAGTATGTGTGTGCAAGAAGATCTATTGTTATAGAATAACAACTGTGAATAGTTTTTACACTAATTAAGTTTTGTTTTTAATTATGTTTAATTAAATGCTTCTGTATTCTGTGTTGTTTACCACACTCCAGATTGTAACAAAAGATATAAATTACAGTTGGAATTCATTGTAATAAATTTTTGTGAGGATATAAAAATGTTTTTTTGGAATATAAATATATTATGAAATTATGTTACAACAATTTTAAAATAAATAATGGTGAATAAAATTATAATAAATTTTGCATATGAATTCGACATAGATTTAGGTTGCTTCATATAAAACTGCAAATTGCATACCTTTGATGAAACCATTCATATTATATGAATTCATAAAATTTAGATTGAGAATTAAATAAAATCAAATTTGAAAATCAAATATGAATATTTTAAGAATAAAACACACTAATAACAGGATGATGTTACCTTGAAGCCATTTCTATGTCTAGACATTGATTTTGGTTTTGAATTTGATACTTTAATTTATTCTTCTTGTCCAATTTAAAGTATTTGTTGTAGAAAATTCTTCAATTTATTCTCATAAATTTAATTTTATTTGGACAAGTTGTAGACATAGAAAAATTTGTCAAAATACACAAAAATGACCGTAACTTAATAGCATTAGTGAGAAAAAGAAAGACGCTGTCTTCCACTCAGAGTCAAGAATTGAAGTAATAGTAGTAGTCAAAAATTATTTTAAAATACATCATTTATACATCATGCACACGATATTCCACGGTAGTACCACCTATTGAGCTGATTTTCGATTATTTGACCGCACACAACTGTCAGTATCTTTGCTACTTCATGGTTGTATGTCAAGATACTTCAAAACATATAAGCAAAATAATTAACGCCATACTACAAGCCCAGTGATGAAAATCGCATTGCTTTGATGGTCAATTTACATCACTAAAATGTGTAATTACAGTGATTAAAGCCAAAACAGGGCATGTAATGTAAATGGTGGCACTATTCTGTTTAAACCACATATCTTCAATAACCATATCTTTAATTTTACGTTAAAACAATAAGTAGTAATACGGCTGTAGCAAATCGAGTTAACGGTTTAGGTTACTTCATTGTTACTTTACCATTTTTGAAAAAAGTGAGGGTATGTCATATTCACAAACTGAATGACACACGATATAGATACTTTTTATTAATACTATGGTCGTTCCATAATGAATTGAGGATTTTCACTGCACCTTATACGACAATAATGGCTTTTTATTATTGACCAAATGACTAATCGATTTTAGTATTAAAATAAACTCGATGTGAAATATTTTCAATAGGTTCATTTATTAATATGGCAAATCTCAAACTAAGTACATGATGACTTAAATGATAGTCCTGTTTGACCTATGCCACTGAAACGGTACTGTCAATTTAGAATTGCAAAATATATACCTGTTTATTTTCAAACAAATAGTACTATAACTATAGTCACTGTTTGACAAGTTATTAGCACAACTAGAAATTATAAATTAACAAACAACAGCAAATGTTAAGTAAGAACTCTTTTAAGCGAACACCGATGGGTAGTGTTACACATCTTAACATAAAGTTGTTGACATACATATTTGCTAAATAAAGAATAATATTCTTTTAAAGGAATGTATTCTCTAAGAAGAATAAAAACTGAAGACTAGCTGGCTTAAAATAAATCAAGATGTATTATCATTTAGTATCCTGTTATCAAAGTCTTTACTGTAGTTTATTTTAAAAATCCCTATAAAAATAATATATAATGAAATATATAATATATATACTTATATATACATATACTTAGTTTTTTTTTTTTGCTTTAAGTGCAATTAGTTTTATTGTATATGGATTTAAAACAATAAATAAAACAAACATAAAGCAATTAGTTATTAGATAACTAACAAGCAATTTAAATTTAACCAGATTTAAACGATTTCATCCGGTATTAAAACAAGTCTAGTACATTTCAATAATTTAAGTCCAAAGATCGCAAGGCCTATTGGCTCAGTTGACGCTAATAAATTCGCTTCAGCATTTATATGGCAACTAAGCCCTTCTTGGTGTACTTTGGTGTGAATTTCTTTCTGTACTGTTGACACTCCGAGATTACGATACAAGTCAGAAAATATATAAATGAAATAAAAATATTTAAATACTTAATATTAATTAAGTTTTTTTGTAACTATCAATTTGGTTTTTTTATTGTCATACTTATTAAAGAAAGTAATTCCTGTATGGACTTAAAAACACACTACCATTAATACAGCTGGTGTACCTATGAGATAGTGGACTATTCTTATTCTTAAACCTGTAAAAGGAATAACATTAATACCATTAATACAGCTGGTGTACCTACGAGGTAGTGGATTATTCTTATTCTTAAACCTGTAAAAGGAATAACATTTCCTGTAATATAATAATAACACATTAAATAAATAATATACAGATTTTGTAAGGAGTATCATGAACTTGTGGTATATACAATGACTGTTTTTTATATACTCAGACGTTCACCTCAAAACACTAATTTTTCCCTTCTTGTGTTAAATAATTTTTTAAATTTAAGAACAAAGAAAATATATACTAATAAAATGTAAGTTTTTATTTCTAAAAACATAATTCTTTTTTGCTAATACATGATTACGCAGATTTCAATTGTTTATTTATTTAAAATTATAAATTATTAATTAAAATGACTTATTCTGGCTTTATAATAAATCAGGAAAATTGATTATAAATACTTAGATTGCCACATTTAATACTTTTTAATAATCTTTAGCTATTTTTATATTCTTTTCTCATGACAATTTCAGTTTGACAGCCAACTTCCGCTTACATTTTGCAATAAAAGCAAAGAAATAATTTTCATAGCATACTTTGCGGCATTCATTTATAAATGTTCCATTTCGTGCTAATTGCGGGAATTATAAATGAAATCCCTGTCGCTTTTGACATATTCTGCTTGTTTTGCATGTTTAACAAACAAATAATTACAACAGAAGGAAAATGAAACAAAACAAAAAAAACACAATAAACAACAGTAAAATCAACAACTAATTTCTAATAAACCACAAATTGTTGCTTTAATTTGCGTCTTCACTCAATTCGCATTTATTGTAAATACGCACAAGTGCGAAGGACTCCCAATATTTCTTTCCACTTTAGTGTCAACAAAATAATCACAATTCTCTCCGAACATTAAGGACTCAAGGTCAAAATTAATGAGTTTTTGCCATACGGCTTCAGAGCGTGTTTGGCTCTGTGTGTTTGTCTTTTCATTTGCCGGTATCAATAGTGTGCGATAGCAGTATCCTTAATTGCTTTCTTGTGTTGAGACCCTGAATATATACACAAAAAAAAAACACATTGAAATAAAAACAATAATAGTAATAATACTGAAGGAAGTAAACAATTTTCAACAAAAGGATTCGATGTGAAAGCAATAAATAACGAAATGAGAAAATAATCAATTCCCTTAATATTTTATTAGTTAGCAGAATTTGATTTGTACAAATAAATGCTTACATTTGGTTAACCATAGTTTCAAGATTTATCATAAGGATTGCTAATGAATGTTTTTTCCAAGTAACCACAAAAATATATTCACCCCAAAAGAAATTGGATTTACATTAAAATAGATTTGATACTATCAGTGTTCATTAGCGAAGTTATGGGACATTTGGAATGGAATCTTAGATAAGTTTTGAGGTATTGCTTTGTAGTGTATATTGTACGAGTATAAAAAGTTGTTAATATTATTAGGAAGTTGATTGTGTTAGAAAACTTTTACAGATATGTTTTAAGTCATTATTACATACATTTCCCCCACTGTCTTTGCTATTACTGTTATAATTGTGATGAAAATAAATGCAACTCTGCATTAATGGAAACACCATATTCCTTCCAGTTCCAGTTCCTTCCAGTGCAGACTGCAGACTGCAGACTGCAAATTGCGCTTCGAACATAATACACAGTCCCATGGGTATGGCTTTTATGGGTGCACATTTGTATGAATTTTGAATAGTTTGCAGTGTAATAAAAACTGAGTTATGAGCATATAAACTGTCACATTAGTACGTGCATTTATTGTGCTTAAAGTTCGGCTCCTACGTCAACATTTTCATACAAAAGGTAAAAATATCTTTTAACTTACGAATAAAAATGTTGAAATTATTAGTTTAAGGTTGTATAATAAAGAGTTAGAAACGTTTTATAGGACATAAATTGCTATATAACTGAAAATAAATATTTTTATATGAAGTATATGCTGTTAAAATTGATATAAGTCCTAAAAGAGGAGAATAAAAAATGAAAGTTCAACATTCACATCATTTTAACTAAACAAATCTTAGTGTTTCGAATTGTAAGAAAAATTTTTATATTACTAAGAGTTTGATTATAAAATCTGTTATCAAGACTCTGGCCAAGTACACATGTGTTATAAACTTTCAGAAGGGCATTGTACATTCTTTTTACTGGGCTACTTATTTTTTAGAAGTTAGAGAGTTTTTGGCCCCAACATCTTCGATTTGGTTAAAATTTTTTTATAAGTTTTGTTTTTTTAAACAAAAACACTCCAGAAAAAATTATTAAGTTATTTTCTTAAAAGATATGGACCAATGGGGTTTTGAGAATTTGTATTTCAAACAAATTTTTAAATGGCAATATTTTTATCTCTGTAAACGACGAGAGACAAGTAAAATTTTTTGTATTATGAACATAATATATTAAACTTACAGTAAATAATATAATTAATTAAAACTGCTGTATATTTAATGATAAGTTAGTTCATGTCTTCGCTTTGCTTATAGATGGTTAAACTTTACATTTTGTCAGCTACTATCTAGTGCGTATCCCTAGATATAATCTAAATAGTCATTTCACATAGCACATTATAGTCACACAATCAGACGGCGAAACTGTCATTCGAGTTATTATGTAGTTATTCATTTAGTCTCACTATCAGACGGTGAACGTGTCATTTGGCTACTGAATTCGTACGAACTTAACTCCAAGTTAGTATAAGATAGTGTGTACAAACGAAATCAATCAAAGACAACAAAAAGAACTACAGCAATACATACAAAGAAAGCCTACCACAATTACTATATTTCCAGATAGAATCTGAACTTGCTTGACTCATTTTAATCTGCTACATTCTGCTATGATATATTCAAAAAATATGCTTTCCTGTCAATAATAAAGCTTTAATTCATTGAATTATAGATTTAACTCTTTGTTTGAAGGTTATAGTTTAATCTAACGTAATTAGACGGTAACTAGAATGAGATGTATGGTAGCCTTAATTATTTTGTTAAAAAATCTTCTCAAAAGATTACTACTTTAAAAATTTAGATGCTTAAATTTCTTTAAAATACCGGTTATAATTAACCACTAAATATTAATAATTGCAGTAATTTACATTATATACAAAAACTTTAATTTATTACCTTCACAATGCATAAAATGTTAGATTTCTATAATTTACAGAGCTTAAGACCTTTAAGGCCATTTAAAAATTGGTGTCTCTTAAAAAAAACATTTCAAAATTTTTTCTCAAGACACAGAGTTTTTTTTATATTAAAAAAGAGTTCGTAAACAAAATTACAGCATAGGTGATAAGGTCCAAAAATATTGGACCCTGTTTAGAAATTTAGAATAGTTAATTTATATGTTTACTTTTTATATTGATTATTCGGTACTTTGGGAACATTATAAGAACCTTCAAAACCCTTCCCACAGAAAGCTGCTTCAATCCAATATAAAAGTCATAAAGAAACTATTTTTTTCGGCATTTTTGCAAAATTTTTGATGCACCATACACATTTCTAATCTAATAGATAAATGAAAATGTCGAACGATAACAAATTTATAACGTAACAAAAAATTGCATATTCCTGTTTGATTTTAAGAATAATTCAAATATTTTTTTTACAATTTTCATAAAAATTTCTGAATAAAAATTTCATCATTTTTTTTTAGAGTTGCTGCACTAAGTAAACTCCATCCGCATATTGTTTAATATCTACAGATATTCGACAAAAATTTGGCAGTTGCAAGTGTAAAAATTCAGTGCATAAGTCACACACACAGATACTATTTCACTGAGACTCACCCAAGTGCGTGTGGATGTGTAGATATGTGCCTAGTCATGCATTCACCTATGTGGATTCGTTGGTACTGAAGTGCAGGGAGTGTAATAAATAATGCAATCACACATGAGCACTGAACGGGAGAGAATGTTGCTATGAAAACGAAACACAAAAGTTGCGTTGCTGCTGCTGCTGCCGCTGCCGGCGCTGGCGAAAAAATGAAATCCGTTATATTGTATCCGTATGGACCCTTGACGACCACCGGATGCTGTCGCATGTTGCATGCCAAAAATTTGGCCCTAACAAGTGCAATTTACACAATCGTAAGTAATTTTAAATACATAATAATAATTTGTACAAGCGAATGAGCGCTCAGTGCCGCATGAGTAGTTGGGTCAACATAGCGTATGAGTGATGTTAAATTATGAATGTAGTTATATAATTTATTTGGTACAGGTTTTTATTACACGAAAAAGTTGATTACTTCTCTGTAATTATATACATTTTATATATAATATATTTTTTTCCATACTCATCTTGAGAGTACTTTGAATTTAAAAATGACTGTGGACTGTTGTCGAAATATTGATGACACTTAATTATATTTTTTAAAAATAATTTAAAAAATTGCATATTATTTATTAATATTATTTAAATAATATATTAATTAGCTCGTTTAAAAATATTTAAATAAAACTTAGTAATTAAAACAATTACTCATAAAATTATCAGAAAATTTTATAAGAAATAGTTTAAACCGTTTTTTGTGTATTTGTTTATTTGATATTTTTCGTAAAAGTGTATTTTTGTATCAAGTATCTTTCTTTTAACAAAATAACTTTTAAAAAAAAATTTTCATTGCATTTAAAAATTATTAACATTATTATAATTTTATGCAGTAAATTCCGAGAAAAAAATAAGCTTAACAAAACTATTTTTAAATATTATAATTTTGATGTTATACCTGTGATGTCACCTCTATATTAAGTAAAAATCTACCCTACTTAAAATTTTTACTTGAAAAGCAAATCTTAATTATCAAGCTTCAATGTTATTACTATAACACATTTTAATATTATTCAATATTATCATAATATTTATGGTATTGATTCAGTAGATAAATAGAAAAAAAATTTTTATTTTGTTTATATTTATTTTTTCAAAAACAAAAACCGAATATTTAAGTCCAGTATCGATCTTAATTGTTGATATAATATCGCTAGGACTACACTTAATTACAATCGCAGGGTTTCTCCCTGGCCCAGGTTGACTTTATTTAGAATCACACTTATCCCAATCCATGTTGCTCTTAAACCATCCTCTCACACCACCATCATCTACCCACATCCTAATCCTAACAAATATGTTTACATATTTTTAATTCCTGTGATCATGTGATTTGCTCGATAGATCACACCAGGTGACCACGAACAACCTAATGTACTTGTTGATTTGCCGGACTTCAGTTCGAGTTTTGTTTTATATTATTTTATAATATAGAATATTTAAATAAAAACAGTAATTTTGTTTGTTTAAATATTGTTATAAATAAATAAACTAAAAATATTTTTATTTAAAGTTCAAAACATAAAAATTTCATTAATCTACATTATTACAGTTTCTTAGGTGAATAGACGACTAGTTTGAAAATTTTTTACTCTAGCTTGACGTTTGTCAATTTACATAGGTTCTAGATATATCGAACCTTAAAGATGCAAAATTTGAAATAAAAATACCAACAACAAATAATTTTAGTAATAAAATGATTTTTGAATAGTAATAATTTAGAGCAACAAAATTAGGTTTTTGTTCTCGGTTAATAAGTTACCGGCCGCGAAACTCAATTAGTGGAAAGAAACAACGCACAAGTAATGTTGAGAGTACAGGACTGGTTAAGCAAGTATGGCTTACAACTGCCTACTAATAGAACGGAGGTATTACTATTAACTCGAAGGCATAGAAATACGGAAAGAGAGACTCGTGTATATAATTATATGCTGACGACCCAAAAAACGATTAATTACCTCAAAATAACACTCCGAAATGGTAATTGGGAGACACAAATAACTATATCACTTAGATGTTGACACTTAGATTAATTCAAATAATAAGTGACTCACATTTAGAGAAGAGATAATAACCCAGATTGGACCAATAAATCACGAAAATATAGTAGAGAAAATTAGAACGAACCCAGAGAGCTGGAGAACGATACAGTCATATGTGATTCAAGTCCGCAAAGCAACGAAATTAGATCTAGAGAGGAGAATCAGAAACTAATCTAATAAATAGTGCAGACATCAAGAAAATGTGGTAAAAACGTGGAGTTCTGGACGTAGATCGAAAATTACAAAAGCATAGCTAGAAGTGCTAACATAAAAGAATTCTCCTCATAGTAATACAAAAGCGGTTCCGAGGGAAAACAAGTCGTTCCGAAAATGGGGTGTTTAAGTCCGAATACTACATATTAACGGTCGTTCTGATAGTGCATATAGCATTGAACCTGGTACCGACAAAACCACAAAAAAAGAATAAGGTTTCTGGCAATACTTGAAACAATAATATGGTCTGCTAAAACTTAAGTCAATTAAAAATAAATAAAACATTATTTCGTTTAATTAGTTAATGTTTAAAAACCTCTCTATTACAGTTTTTTATATTTTTTCTATTAAGAAATTAGTTTCTTTAATCATAATTAAATTGATAAATTAAATTTAATATAAAGTTGTTAGCAGCTACTTATGTATAAATAAAAGCTTCATATCCACAATATTCATAACAACTGTTTATAAAAACTTGTATTTTTTAAGTATGATATTAGAAGAACCAAACTAATATATATCGGCACATAGTTTTACGGAAAAAGTTTCACTGAATACTGAAAATAGGTCATTACAACGAAGCGTCTAAGAAATAATAATAGTTCCGACAATCCAACCTCAAACTTAAAATAAAGGCCAAAAAAAGACAAAAATACTGGTAAAGATATAAATTCTGCCTAGATTTAGTTTTAGACTAAATAAAAAATTATAAAAATGTTTAAAAACTGGAAATGTTTTAGTAGGACTTGCAATTAGTCGCCCTGGACTAGAGTAATATAACACATTTATTGATACATTTACAAAGCGTACAAGTGCTCATTATGTGTTTTAATTTATGTTAATGTGAAATTCGTGCTGTGAATTTCAGCGAACCATAAAACCAAAAAATAAAATGTTAACATTTTGCTTTATTAAAACGAGCACTTTAGAATTTTAACTGCACTTTTAGCAAACACAGAGCTTCTCTGGATATATATGTCTACTAAGCTTGTTTGGTAGTAATTAGCACTTGATATGGTATGAAATTTGTACTTTTCCGGAAGGAGTGTAGAGGAGTGGAGTGTGCAGATTTGACAAAAACATTTTCACAAAATTACAAGTTCATTAAAATAAAAGCATGTTTTGTATGCAGCAGCGAAGCGTTTTTATATTCCTGCAAATAATAATTTTAAAAAGGATTATTTTGCAAGGATAGCAAGCGCTACAATATGAAACTTTTGACATTTTCCACTTTCTACGCTATTTGATATGAAAATTAATGGGCGGTGTATAAAACTTGTTGGGAATTGTTTTATACGTTTTCGGTTTGTTTTTATGTTTACCGCATTTTATCGGTTAATTAACGTGTTTATTTAATATGATTTGGTTTATTACAGTTTATTACTTTTTACTATGTGTGGTGTGGATATGTGGAAACGTGGATACTACAAAATAGTCGACTACGCTCCTTTGCATACAATTACGAGCGAATAAAACCACGACAAATTATGGTTTAGAATAGATAACATTATAAACATATTATGTATATTTTTAGCTTTTATTAGAGTTTATTATAAGAGAGTAAGTATTCCTTTTAATTAAATTAAAAACTTTGTAATTTTATTTTCAGAATATTTCACTTTTAATCGTTTTAATATATTCGTGGCGTATCAATGTCAACATAAGAAAATCTAATGAACTCGAAGATGTTTATTATGGTAAGTTAACTACTGAAGTTAATTTAATAATTTTCAATTATAATTATTATAAAGCGTTAGCAAACATTTAAAAGTTTTTAAATAATCTTAAATTGACTTGCTAAAGACTTTGAAAAATATTTAAAAATAGTACTTAAGCCAAAAAATAAATTTTTAGCCCCATTTATTACCTCACTTAATAAGTCTTTGGTCCAGCTTATGCTTATATGGCAACATTGTTTTCATCACCATTTAATTCCTGAGAAATCGTATCCTTCAAACGATACGTGATAAAATTTCATGATATTCAGATAACTAATTTCTGGGTTACAGTGATAACCACAGTGTTATAAGTTCTAAAACAATGAAAAAGAAGGAATTTTCTGTGATGAGTTCAAAGCGTTATGAAGAGGATCTCCTAGATATATAGACAGATTTTGAAAGGGTTGGGTATTATGTCAACACGTCATTGCATTCTTTGGATATTATTGTAAGATCGGTACATGGATTCATATATACTTACTGAAGGGGTGAAAGTCAAATAGTCCTCTTGTCAGAAAAAAAAACACCATAAACATGAATAACCCAAAAACAAAGCAGTGAATCAAATTTTGAAGTCAGAGGCAATTACATATGATGTGCATTCCTAAGAAAATAGCATTGCTAAAAAAAATGTGCTTTTAAATAGATTCAAAATTGATGTTTCTAGTTAGATTATTACTGTCAATACATACGCCAATGAAGTTAAACTTCCTCTTTGGTATTACCCAATTTTCATGATATTTGGACAAAAAATGAGTATTTACTGCACTTTAATAATGTGTAAACAGTTTTCATTATGTTAGTATCATAAATAAAGCCAACAAAATATTACTTTAAAGCTTTAATGTAGCACTATAATTATGTAATCGTACAGAACTGGTATATACATATTTATATTTTAAGTGAATTAAGTGTACTTCTATTGAGAAGTTACGTATATGTTTAATATAACAGTAATGATTTCTTTAAATGAAATTATAAAATGCCTTTTACCACAACTTACTATATACCATATACTATTCATGTTACACAGTTGCTGATTTTGAGCACTCATTATACTTTATACTTATGACAATGGAGTAATTTAAATGTCAGATTTTCTATATATAATAATATTACTTATTCAAATATCGACTTGTTGAAACACAAAAAAATTTAAAGATTATTTGCACAATAAATAAATAAAGTCACATATCCGTAATCAGTCCAAAAGTTACCAAATGGGTAGCCACGTTTTCAACATACAAATCACGTATAGGAAAACAATTAAACTGCACACATCCAACTATTAACTGTAGACCAATAAAAACTCACAAAATTGCCAAATGAAGTCCTTAAACAATACCAAAATCGAAAGGATAAAATGACAAAGCAAACAATTGGCAACGAACTCGTAAATTTAACAATTATATTCTACACTCGAAAATCTGAAAGCAAACTTTAATGTTGTTGGGTGTTAGACCTTTACTACTTATGCCCTTGGCTTCTTAATATTTTGACAGTATCACAAAAGTCATATGTCCCAAAAGTATGCACGTTCCTATATTTTAGCCTTTATCTCCATTCAATTTAATTTCTATTTGAGTTCGTTTTTTCTTTTATATTTGCTTTGTGTTATCCTTTCTTTGACCACATAAAGGATTATGTTGGCAATATATTATCCGAATGTCAATTTAACTTCAACCTACACAGTGTACCATTATTCATTATCGCAGCAGGCAAGGACATTAGTATGTACCAGTGTTAAACATCAAACATTATAGTCAGAAGCACTCACACACAGACCCAACCGTACAATTATATTTAATCTAATAAACAAACATATATGGGAATATTTATGGAGATACTTATTGTGGCTTGGATATTTGCTATTCCTCTAGATATTCACACACGTTTTCACATAAAACTACTCGGCTTGGTATGTTATTTATATTTCATTTGTTTTATTTTATTCTTTCAGGTGTACAGATTGCATATTTTGCCATTATCGGCACACAAATGTCCATGATTATCCTCAGTGTTATCCTTCTTTATGGAATTTGCAAGGTAAGTCGTTGTATCAATATTTGCCAGAGTGGTTAAGTACACTAATACCCTTGTGATAAATCGTACCTTTTATTATTCATTTCATATTTACTTCTACTTTCAATTTACTTTTCTAACGTAATTAATTAGCAAGAATTATTTTATTTGAGTTGAATGGTAATGGTCCTTCAAATAGTTATTAAGTATATTACGAAATTATTTTCTTAGACTGTAATATTTATTAGACTTAGACAAATTGCAGAAAATGTCTTTGGAAGGATTAAATACTAAGTATTTAACAAAATAAATGATTAAATTTGAACAGAAATATACTTAAATTTTTTAATAACATTCACATCTGAATAAGTATATTAAAAAATATGAATGAATTTAACATTATTTATATCTGCAATTTTTATAAAGTTAAGTAAGTAACAATTTCTAGTGGAACTTCAGTAGACTAATAACAATAGTTTGAAGACTTCACAAATTAATTTTTTGTGGGAAATCAATAATCAAGTATTCCCATAGCCTATGTGATAGATTCTTGTTTGAGTAAATATTGGTAGATAGAAAGGATTGCATTTGTCACTTGTTGAATGTATAATCAGTGAACGAAAACAAACTGTAAAGTACCTAACATAGTGTACTGTTTTGTATTTTTGTTCAAAAATTCAAAACGAACAGTACACTAAAAAACCCCTAAATACGTAAAAAAAATTTTAGAGTTTGTGTTCGCGAACTGTTTATTATTATACTGTTTCTGGTATCTTCATCCCCTAAAAACTATATATTCCTACGCAATAATCTAAATATTATATATGATATACAGAAATTCTCAAACATTTATTACTGTTTTAAACTTTATACAAATGAAACAACAATAATATACATCAAAAATGTTTCCTAATCAAAATGACAGACACTAAAAGAACACTAAAAATACACTACCTTCAGGAAATGATCGCTACAAAAGTTTACTATCTTCATGAAAAGATCATTAAAAAATTCACTCGTGAAAAGAATACTAACGAGAAAATAAAAAATTTTACAGAAGATGTCGGAAACAGTACACTAATTTAGTGTTTGGGGCATCTCGTTTTCGTTTTTTGTGTACTATTATGTGTTCGTGAACGCAAACTGTAGACTTTTTTCTAAGAAATAGTAAATCGAAACATTTTCTACGGTTTACTATAGCTTTCAACCGTCTTTTTAGTAATTTATGGAGTCCATGAAAAAAATGTTGTTTTGGTGCAACCGATTCATCGAGCCAGGTTTTGATTTCTGCGTGACTTCTGAACTGCTGGTCAAAAAGAGCGTCTTTGCATTGATCGGAATAAATAGTAAACTGATACAGTTGCAATCTAGTGAATAAGGAGTGTGTGGTAGAACTATTCATTTAAGAGCTTTCAATATTTTTGGATAAGTGATCCAAAAGTTTTGCGATAAGTGTTCAAGCAACACTTTTCTTATCCCGCATAATGTACAATGTAATACTACTTCCATGAAAGTTTAAGTTTGCGGTTGATATGAATGGTTTGTCTAGATGAATTCATGATTCTTTGTATTTAGGATTATCGTTGTAAGACCATTTTCTTCGTCAGTCACAATTTTATACGGAAAATATCATCTTGGGTGTTTCATAAGCAAAGAATTCAGAACGATAGTTGTCTAAGTACATAATATATGTAAAATAATTCTAGAGATGAGGATGGGTGATTTTCGTGATAAAATTAATTCTAAAGTAAAAACGGTATGTACAATGCCAATTATAAGTTTATTGAAAAAAGTATGAAGTGATATTGATTTTTTGTAAATATCCGAACTAAACCACTCCTTAAGTATATTCTCCCAAAAAGCCAATAAATGCTTATTATCAATCGATTTTTGCTTATTCTATTCGAACATTTTTTACACCAAAAGAAAGGAAAAATGTTAGTATTTGTTTCATACATATCGTCAAGATGGAACAAACAGTTGACAGAATATTATGTTATGTAGCTCGTGCAATGCAATTTCAAAAAAAGTTTAACATAACATTGAAAAGTTATTCGTCTTTAGTGTTTTTTGTTTTTGGAATTTTTCACTCTAACCGCTCTGTCTATTATTTGGATCTAACGATATTAATTAAATTGACATATGGTCAATTCTTTCAAAAAAAAAAGAACAAGTACTAATCTTTGTTCGAAATGTTTCGTGGGCGAACAATTTTTGTTAATCTTAACCTAACTTAAAACATTCTTACTGTCAACTACTTCTAGTTTCAATCCATGCACATAGATCAAAAATTTGTCGCCTATTATAATCTTATACACGTCTTTTGAAGCTTCGCAATTGCAACCATTTCTTTTCATGAGCCTTCAGGATTATCTTTTTTATTTTTAAGTGACATTATGTAGCATCCAATGAATACATATTAGTATAATATAATTATATTCTTTTACATTAATATTGTAAAATAATTAAATATTGTATTATAATATGGTAAAAATAATGTGGTTGTTATATTATTGCAGAACATTTTTTAACAAACATCTGTGTTACGATTTTTGTACATAATCAGTATATCTTATCATTGCAACTGATTTTGGAAGACTTTATAATTATAAAATTTATATTTGAGAGAACGGTTTTCGCTATCAAATTCTTTATAGCAGCATTTCACAGTTACAGAAGATGGATCTTCATCTATCATTATCTTTGCAGTCACTTCTTGGTACTACATATCAAATATCGTTAAAACTCATTGCATCAAAATTTAAACGGTTTAAGTCTGTTTGCTTATTGAAATACTCTTTACAAGTCACTATAAATGTAGCAAATCACACGCAAATGATAGAGCTATCTGTAAAAAGAACTAGTCTATAATTTTTGGTAAAAATGGTAACCGATAATACTTAGTCTTGCCAATAGGTAAAATATAAATATTGCTCTTCCTACTCAAGAAAATATATTTATATATAATATATATAAATTATTTAATATTATGGTGTTATAAATCCTTAATTTCTAGCATTATTTACTAACAGAAAATATGGTTATTTATTTGATTTCATTATACATATAACATATATCGTATTTTATTATTTTTGTGAATGCGATGCCAAAACAAATTGCACTTGCTTTCATTCCCTTTCAGTGCACTTTTATAACCTTAAGTAATCCTTGTAAAATGATTGTTCATATCGTAACAGAACAGTCAAGTCGAGACGAGTTGAGTAGTAAACAAAGGTGAACCAAGAGTCTCTATGGAATAATGAAAGTATCATAGCTTCCGCTCCAAATATATTAAAAAAATATACAAGTACTTCAAGTTAATGCAGCTAAGCTTCTAATGTCAAACTTGTGTACAAGCACATCAGTAGGAATCTGTTATTCCGTCCATGTTTATGTTTCAGCATTTGTATCTGAGTTAATCAGTTTGAAGTCAGCAATCCAGAAATCCACTTAATTCAATACGTCACCACGTCAATTTGTCTGTCTGTGTGTCTGTCTGTCTGTTTGTTTGTTCACGGAGTTTGACTATGTGAGTGAGTGACGGTGTAACAATGCAAGCGTTTTACAGTGTAAATATTACTCACGCAAGAACTCGAAAATAAAAGAGCCCGTATGAGTGAATGACGTTCAATAACCGCACAAACAACAGAAAAATAAATATAAATGAAATAACAATAAAAATAATAAAATAAAAAGTAATAAAATAAAAAATAATAAAATAAAAAATAAAAAAAATACTTTCAAAGTATAAAAATGAAGTTTATTTGTCACGCGTGCTTGTTGACAGCTCAGCTCTAGAAAGGTTAAGTAACTGAGGATTTCTGGCATTGATGTTAGTTTATTTGCAGTGTAAACGACATTTATTGTGAAAATAATATTTTCCGCACATAAAACCAAAGCAATTGTCAAGGTTGTCTCGAGTTGCTTAACGCCATCGAAATTCTAAGAAAAACCGCTGGTGGTGGTGGGAGAGAATTGTGATGCAAATAGAATGAAATCCTAATTGAGTTTTATGTTAATATTCCAACTAATGAGTTCTAAGTAAAAGTATGGTTTATATACGTTAAAGGATTATTATAATTTTTTTCTGAATTCAAAAAAAAAAATTATAAGTGCATTATCCTTTTGTCTGTAGAATGATTTGAGTGTGGAGTTATGCTTCTGCTTGTTAAATAAATTCCTAAATGATGACAAAGTTGATGTCAAGCAGTCAATGTCTGTAATTTGCTTTTGTACTTTTTTGAGCTCATTTGCAAGCTTGTTCCATTAGCTCTTCTCTGGCTGAAAACTACTTGATATGCGAAAAGTTTCTGGCAAATCTGTCATATGCAAAACAGCGTTTATCATTAACGTCGTCTTTGCGTATAGGAACTCACTGCAAAGAAATGATAAGCAGCTGCAATCAAATATGTAAAAAGGCAATTTATGAAATATCTCACAAATACACAATGCCTTAAATATGTACATAGAAAATGAAGAGAATTCATGTTATAAAAAAATTAATGAGCTCAAATTTATTTGTTAGAAATAAGAAGGTTCTTCGCTATTGTATGAGAATTTAACACATTCGGAGGAAGTCATAAGTTTTTTAACATCTATATTTAACACTTTAACAATTTGGTTTTAAATTCCTAGTGATGGTTGGTTGGTTGGAGTGGCGGCCTTGTATCCCAAAAAGCCCACTTAAGCACAAATAATGGCCCATTGTGGTACCACAGGAGTTACGTTGATTTGTATATAGATTGTCGTAGATAATCATATAGATAATCATATAAATAATCATATAGATAATTATCATATAGATAATCAGTATACATTCAACGTCGAAGAAAGGTAACGACTCCCTTATTAGGTAAAGGAAAACCAACCTGACAGTTCTATGAACATGGCTAGGTCCCTAACATTACAGGATGACAACTCAGTCAGGTCAGTTAGAAAAGGAGATCAAAGGGTTTTTAATCTTCTTCTGGCTAGGGAAGGGCACTGACACATGAGATGGAGTACAGTCTCCTCCTCATCCTCAA